GGACAGGTCGGCGAAGTCATCCTTGGTTGAGGTGGCCTCCAGGTCGACCGTGGTTGTGGTTTCTTTGACGCCGATCTCAACTTGGCCGGCCTGCTTTGGGCGGTTATCTCCCTCAGTGGTTTCCTCAGCCTCCTTCTTCCTCGGCCTCAGCCTGCAACGCGCTGAAGATGTCATTGGCATATGGCACCATGTATGTCGGCAGAAAGGCAATGGGGGAAGAGGCAAACACGTCGGTCCCAGATCCTTGGCTGAGCTATTCGCAAGCAGCTTTCTACCCGGATTTGAAGAAAATGTCCTTAGTGGCCTCCACTTGCTTCCTCGATGTCATTGAAACCTTCGTTGTTTGCCTTGTCCAGTTCGTCCTTCTTCGATTGCTTCAACACTTCCAGCTCGACCCGGAGAGCGTCCCTTTGTTTCTCGGTGGCACCCAGTTGGGCGAACAATCTGGAGTTGTCAGAGTTCACGATCTCCAAAGAAGTTTTTGATCGTCCCAGCTCGGTCTGAAGGTGCTCAACTTGGCTGGCAGTGTCGGTTGCCTTCTGCCAGAGTCTGTGAATTCGCTCCAGTACAAGGTGTTGTTTTTGGATGGCCTGCAAGAAGAGAGTTTGATTAGAGATAGGACCAAGCAAACACTTGGAAAATTTTGAATAAAGCATGCAAAGCTCTTACCCGGGTCATGAACTTGACCGAGGACTTCACCAGTTGGGTGTCGGGCATGTGATCGCTGCCGACCACGTCGCTCGGCAGTAGGAGGGCTTTTGTCAGGTCGAAGGCTAGGAGGTGTTCCTTGTCGCCTTTGACCGAGGAGGTTGTCGGGATCTTCTTACCCCGGTGCTTTAACTAGGGCTACCAGGGCAGTGGTAGCTCGGTTGTGACCACGGGTTGCTCAATGTTCAGCTCCGTGACGAGCTCGGCTGAGGGATCGGCGGTTTGAGGCTTTTTTCCAGCTCGGCGGGTGTTCTTGCTGGCCTGTGATGGGGGGGTAGAGGCCAAGGCAATGACGGCCTCAGATGTTTGCCCGGCTCTTGAAGTGCGAGGTAGGATGCTCGGTAACTCGATGGATGTGGCAGTGATAAGATTCTTGATACGGCTTCGTTTGGCCATCTTCTCTACCTCGGTCAGCCGGATGAGGGGCACGTCGAATAATATGGGGTCAAGAGGTGGCGATGGCCCTCGAAGACAGTCTGTCACTCTACTCTGACGTGGAGCGGAGTATCGGTAGGTTGGTACGTAGCCGAGAAGTTTGTGACAATCTCGGTTTCGGTACCGCAGCACGGTTCTGATGGCTGCTTCGTTGGGATAATGGTAGTTGGCTTGCAAAGCTTCAATTGCTGCAAAAGAAGAAAAGATATTAAGTACGGAATTTAGAAATGAAGAAATTTGACCGAGCAGTTAGCACGACTTACATGTTTCACTGAAGTTTTTGCTTATATACCAGCCCGGCACGTCGGCCGTTTCATAATTACCGGACACCCAGAAAAAGTCGTCGTCGTGCATGTCTTTGTCCGGGGTGCCGGCCACTATCTTCTCCTTGCCCGGTCTGATCTTTAAATAATAGGCAAGGCTGTCGCCCGTATGCCCGAGGGTATACTGGCAAGTATTTCGGCTAATCCTAGGTTGGTTCCTAGCCGGTTGTTCAGTTCGTGGATCCCGTTAATTATCATGTAAGTGTTGGTTGAGACTTGGGTTGGTGCTAGCCCGGTGCGCCGCAAGAACTCGCACAAAAGGGGGTTAACCGGGAAGCGGAGGCCACCTTCTATTATGGAGAGCACGGTGAAAGGGCACTAGTCCAGTCTGCCCTACAAGGTTGTTTCCTCTGCTCCGAGCTCGAGATGTACATCGATTGGGATACCGTATTCTTCTCAGAACGCGGCTAGAGCGACCGGCGTGTCGACTAGGAAGTGGTAGCGCCCCATGTGTAGCCGGCTGGTTTTAGCACGGCTGTGTTGGTTTGGCACAAACTCTTGTTTGGTGGCTGCTCGGTCTTTGAAAGCCTCAGTGTTAGTGCGTGGTCCCCTTGGACTCTGCAGGAAAATGAGGGTAAGTGTAAGAGGGAGCGTAGTCGCGCAAAACGAGCTTGACTTTAGCTCGGTCAGTGGAGTGCCAGACCACCCCGGTCATGAAGGTAAATCCAGAAGCTCGGCCGCTCAAGCGGACCAGATGTTAGCCCGGTCAAGCTGTCAAACCCTCTACCTACCTCGGTTCCTACAGGAGTTTTTACAAACTTGTAATTTGCTCGATTTAGATGTTTTTTGGGATCAAAAGAAGACCTGGAGCCCGGTTCGCCCCAGATCTTCATGTGTTCATCACTGGAGCTGAAGAACAGCAAGGAGAACAGGGGGCATGAGAGGTTTTTGGGAGCTATATCCTAAAACCTATTACTTTTGTGCCTTAAGATGTAAAATACCGAAGGAAAAAACAATAATGGGGTTTGAAGAACTTACCAGAATGGGGCAAAAGTCGAATCTTCGAGCACGAATGCAGCAGAGGGCAACAATGGAGCTTGATGAGGGCACCGCGACGTTAGGTTGTCTGGAATGGAAGTGAGTCTGTAAGAAGAAAATGAAGGGGGAGTTGGCGGGTTTGTAGGGGAAAACAACCGCCAAAATTCGAATATGAAAGGACGTCAGGGTTGGCTGCTCGACGCCAATAAATGATCAACGCGTGTCCCTATTGACGGCGGTGTCAGTATTGAAGGGACAGACAGGTGAGTTGAGGCGTCGACCGGGCAAGTCTAGAAACCGAGCATGTCGACTAGCGCGGTATACAACTTGTGGAGGAAAGACCTGCGGGAATGTACCCCGGTTAGGTCACGTAATCCCAGTCACGCTTTTGCGTGGACGAAATTAAGGGCAATTGAGAGGGAGATTTATGAGCTGGAATGGGCCATGGTAAAGGCCGGGCAAATTGAGGGCCAAGCGCGTTTGGGCCGTGATAGCTTGGGCCTGTCTGGAGATGGTTCTGCTCAGTTGAGGCCCAGGGCCATGTTGGGACCGAGCTACTTGAGCTACTCGGCCGAGGTGATCCCTGCCATTCGGGATTCCACGGTTCGTGCATTTAGCTCGGCAGAAAGGGCTTTGGTTTACCAGCTCGACCTGTCTTGAGCTCGGTTATGCCGGAATGCAACCGAGCACGGTCGTTATGGAGCTCGACGAGTGGAGTACTCGAACTCGTTATCCAACACGGTTGTGTGAGGCCGAGGTGATGCCGCCGGGCTGCCGAGCTTCCACTAATGTAGTTTGCCGGTTTAGTTAGGTGGTGATTGCGGAATTTGTGCTGACAGATAAGAGAGTAGCTCCACGTGTCAAGAGGCTAATGGGAGCAGATTTGAGCGCAGAAAGTATATAAGCCTGATTGTGCCCCCATGCTGGGGATGGAACATCATTTGGTGAGAAACACTCATTGTGATTTATCTTTCTTTTCCTCTCTCTCTCCTTGAGTGTGTGTGCTAACTTGACCGTCGGAGGGGTTTTCCGGCCACACACCGGGTAGCTCACTGCCGTTGTGCTCATAGGTCGATCGGACAGATAAGGAGCTTGGACGAAAGGAGTACGGGCTCCGCAAAATATTTGCTCCCCGTACACTACTTATAGATTATAATTAAAAGTTTATGTTTATTCATAATTTGATCCCACAATAATAATATACACCATTGATTTAAAAGTCCAAGTAAATTTATGATAACTTTTCTAAGCTTATAGATTTTTTCTCTTTTAATGTTTTGTTTAGTTTGATACAAGTTATTTATGTTATCAAGTAATTGTGATATTATTATTCTGAACAATTTTTATAATTAATAATTTCTTATGCATATCAAATTTTATTATGAAATTTTGTGGGTTAATTATTGTTAACATCTATCTAGATGGCTTAATATCATGATTTGTCGCTATTAAGACATAATTTAAGATTAAAATAATTTATTTATTACATAAAATATATATAATCTATTTTTCTTCTGTGCATCACACAGGTTACTGCTAGTACTTATATATATTGTTGCATTAAGCAAATGCAAGTAATGGGAAAGCTCAAAATATTTGTTATTTGCTCGGGCTTAAAAATAAAGTTAATGAAGTCTCACATGTTCAAATCATAATTACAAATGGAAAAATGAAACCTCATATATATATATATATATTTGCTTTCTTCTATAAATGGATTAGTTCAAATAAATAAAAGGCACATGCCGTGTTGAAATGTAATAGATAAAATCATTTTTGTTCAATTTAGGCCTCAAAATAATGATGTAGGCTGCTAGAAGCCTAATATCAATCAATAGTATCAACATTTCTTCTTTTTTTATACGTTATTAAAAATTAATAATTAATAATTTTTTTGTCATAATTTTTATAAATTATGGTTAAAACTTATAATTAGTGACATTTTCTGTGATGAATTTTATGAATTGTCACTGAAAGTTCAAAATTAGTGACATTTTTTGTGACAATTTTCAAATTGTCTATAAAAATTAATAATTAGTGACTTTTCTTAATAGCGTTTGATGAAAAATATCATTAATTATCATAAAATTTATTAGACAATAAATTCACCACCTGAATGTAAATACTCCAAAAATATATTAGAACATTTTCATTGTAAGAATTTAATTAATAATTCAGCATCATCAAAAATAAAAAATTAAAAAATAGGAAATTTAATATTTAAAAATTAAGTAATAATTATTTAAATGTTAAAAGACCTCCATTCAATACGTCACCTAAAACCCTAAAATAATTATGTTGTCCCTAATCTCTAACACTACTTTTTACACATAAAAACTCTAAACATATTTAAATCATCACATTTTATACTTTTCAATGAAGCTCACTTTTTAATTAAGCCATCGCCGCGTGGATAAAATCCAACCTTCACATATGCTCTCTCTCCTAAAAAGAAAAGTAAAAGGGTACTACATGCATTGTTCCTAGTCAATAATTTCATTTGATTATAATCTCTGTAGAAAGCCACCAAACACATGGATATGAGTAACTTTCACACATCATTAATATAAGACCCAAAATACAGAATTGTAAAATATATAGGGATCCCCCCTCTCTCTCTCTCTCTCTCCCCCTCTCAACTCAGAGAACTTGTAATAATGTTCCTCACTCGGCTTCTTCCTTCAGTTGCTGTAATCGTTTTCTTGGCTACTTTCGCTTCCGGAGCCACTCCACTTCCCTCTTCTGAAGGTATATATATACACATACATATGAATATAAGATTAGGAACACCAACAAGGGTTGGTTTAAGACTTTTGGATTCCATACTCAAAATTTGAGTTCGAGTCTCCATAACCCTCGTTAAAATTAAATATATTGTTTAGTGTTTAGAGCACACAGAGCCTTAGTTTTTGTCCTGATGTAAGTTCAGTGGGATTCTGTGCATATGCAGTGTGAGTATTAAGGATAATATTTCGGTGACGGATATAAATTAATGTGCGTTTTATTCCATACTCAAAATTTGAGTTCGAGTCTCCATAATCCCTCGTTAAAATTAAATATATTGTTTAGTGTTTAGAGCACACAGAGCCTTAGTTTTTGTCCTGACGTAAGTTCAGTGGGATTCTGTGCATATGCAGTGTGAGTATTAAGGATAACATAAATTAATGTGCGTTTTATTTTTGCAGTGGATGCTCTGAACGAAATAGCAAAGAAGTTGGGAAAGAAGAATTGGGATTTCAGTGTAGATCCATGCAGTGGAGAATCCGGTTGGGCCAACCGGAGTGAGCCTAACGGGTTTGAGAATGCTGTCACCTGTGGTAACTGCACCTCCGATAACACCACCTGCCATGTTGTCAGCATGTAAGCTCTCTCTCTCTCTCTCTCGGATAATTTATAGATTATACTTGTAGTTGATTTAAACATGAGAATATAAAATATGGTTTCAAGATTAATTTTTCATATGAAAATTAAAACCAATCTCTATTCGGTCTTAGGATGCCTTTTTGCTCGTCTGTTTGTTTATTTGTTGTTGTTGTTGTTGTTGCTTATCTTGATCAAAAAGCAAAGTTCAAGTTGTCCTTGTATGCACAATAAATGACAAATCACAGCTTATGATCATTTTTCATTTTTTAATCATTTAATAAAAATGATTTGAGAAATAGTGTTATTTTTATAAATATAAATCATTTTATGCGTGTTTTATTTTAAATTAAAAAAATTTCAATATAAAATTATTTATAAATATTCTAGTTATATATTAGGAGAAATAATATAAAAAAAATCCTAGGGTTTGAGTCTTAAAACAGAATAATTTTTAAATTTTATCAATTTAAACTTCAATCTTTTGATTTGTTTTTAATTTAAATTATTTATCTATTTTTGTTAAATAAGATTGACCAAAAACTGATGTTGTAGTCATTATACTCTATGTAAATGTACGAAATATGTCTAAAATACTCATTTTTATTAAGTTTAATAATTAAAATATTATTTCTTTGATAATTTTACTTAATAAAAATAAACAAATGGTCTAGATTAAAAACAAATCAAAAGATTAATTTTAAACTCATAAAAATAAAACTTTGTAATTTATTTTGTTAAAAGGCTCAAATTTTAAATATTTTTTTTTGTAATTTTTCCTATATATTATTGCTCCAATATATTATTACTCTTTTTCAAGACATTATTTGCATAGTATTAGTAATAGTAAGAGGTGACTTTCAATTTCTTGTTTCGGTGGCTCTTGGCTGCTCACAAAATAGGTTTCATCAACTTTGTTTAAATTAATAAAATAATTGGCTTGATTGACTTTGTTTGGTTCGAATGTTAGGTAGAGAGGGGTTTTTGAAAGAATTAAACTAAACATTGTTTGTAATTTTATGCATGAGAAATTTTTTTTTTCCCTTTAGACACGGAGGTTTCATCAACTTTGTTGAAATAAAAAATTAATAAAACATCACTACAAGAATTAACATTTTTGGCAACAAAAAAATTAATCGCTAAAAGTCTATTTTTAGTCGGCAAAAGTTATTCGCGACCAATTTTTTTGGTCGCTACTTTGGTCGCCAATTGAGGGTCGGCAAAAGTAATTCGCGACCAAAATTTTGGTTAGTCGGCAAAAGTTGGATTTGCCGACTAAATTTTTGGTCGCTAAATATTTAATTACTGCGACTAATTCATTTTGTCGCCAAAACACTTTGGTTGCGAAAAGTGATATTTTCCCGACCAAATTTCTTAGTCGCCAGTTGTCACATTTCGCAACCAAAAAGTTTGGTCGCCAATTATCACATTTAGTGACCAAAAAATTTGATCGGCAATAGATGTATTTTTTGCGACCAAAACTCTTGGTCGGCAATTGTCATTTTTTGCGAAAAAAATTTATTTTTGATGTCGCGACTAATAAATTGGTCGCCAAAGCAGGAAAATAATACACCTGTAATTCCTAATAATGCATTCAATCCATAATAAACCTATAATTTTAAAGCATCATTCAAATTAACTGAATCATTAACATTCGACACAATACATAATTCATTAACATTCGACACAATACAACTATTCTAAATTTTCAATTCATATTCGACACAATACATTAAGTTGCCTTGATAGCCAATCAAAAAGATCCACTAAGTTTTAATTCATTAACTATTCGACACAATACATAATTCATATTCGAAGTTTTAATCCACTAAGTTGCCTTGATAGCCAATCAAAAAGATCCTTGCGCCCTTCCGTGCCTAGCTTCGCATCCATCAAAGCAATAGTGATGTAAGGCACCTAATAAAGAAACAGAATTGGAAAATTTATCAGAGAAGCATGATAGTGGCAGCAACACTGGATTGCAAACCTGTATCTTTGCAAAAATCAATTAAATCCTATAAACATGTACATCGTATTGAGAAAACTAGCTGGCATAATAAAACTGTACTTGTTGTTGTACCTGCAAATTTCAGTACACGATGATTAATAAGCTAACAGCCATAACAACCTTGCCAGTAAGATAAACAAAACCATAGATATATGTATAACCATAAACCAAGGTAGATACATTTGATAAATTCTAAATTAAAGAATTCAAAATGAATCAAATCTTTGCCTATAAATATATGTATAATCTCAATGATTCAATAGAATTGTTGATGGTATGAGAATTTGAGATTGCGTTTGTGTGTGATTGGCTCAACCCTTGTGCGGGGTAAGGCACCTCTTCTCTCTCTTCTTCTTCTCTTATTCTTTGCGCACATACCCGAGTTATTATTCGCGAGTTACTATTCACAGTCCACTAAAAGTGCAGTTCTCTATACCAACGCGTTGAAATAAAAAAATTAATAAAGTAAATGGCTTTATTACCTTTGTTTGGTTGGAATGTTAGGTAGAGAGGGGTCTTTGAAAGAATTAAACTAAACATTATATGGAATTTCATGCATGAGATTTTTTTCTCTTTTTTAAGTTAGCAGTGTACATGACCCACAAATTATTTATACCATTAAGCATCATCAACATATAAACAATACTAATGTTTGGACCTATTAAGAATAATGTGATAATGATATTTGAGAAAACATAAACTACTTTGATATATTTTTTTGTTAAAATGATAAAATCGAAAGTTATACCATATCATTTTATGTTAGCTTTATATAATATATCAATTATTTGATGGAATCCATATGCTTTTATTTGGTGGGGGTAACCTAAGGCACACTCGTTAAATTGGTGGATATTAAAAGCCCTCACCTACATATGATTTTATTGGGTTAAGAAAATAGGCATGACTCACAGTCCACTGTAAAAAAAAATAAAACAAAATTAGTACATCAAATTTATTTATTTTTAACCTAAGCCCAACACCACTATCACTAAGCTTCCGTTTGGGAGTGGGTTGGCTTTTTAGCTTTCTGACTTTTTGACTATTTTAGCCTGGACTATTTTAGCCTGATTTGGGAAGGATTTTTTGATTTTTTGACTTTTTTGGCTTTTTTTGTGAGAGAGGATTGTAATGATTATGAGTTAGATTTGATATTTTGTTTTTTGTGGCTAAAATAGCTTATTTTGTTTTTTGTGACTATTTTAGCCAAAAAAGCCTGGCTTTTTTCTTCCCAAACGGAGCCTAAGTTTCATAATGGGAGAGAAGTAAACTATCACAAAAAGTATCAATTCTTCCTCATACAATTTGAACTCAAGATTTCACATAAAAAATGGTGGTACACAACTATTAGGCCAAATGTCCCGATTCTATCTTATTATTAGAACTTTGTGAATAAAGGTGCCAGAATATACTTGATTTTTTTTTTTCTTTTACACAACAATTTTATGAATTTTCAAAAACTAAGTCGAAAAAAGCTGAAAAAAGAGAGAGCATAGATTAGATTTATATTTGAAAGTGATTCACTTCACATTAAATTAAATTTTTACTACATTTTTTTATTAAGTTTTAAATTATTTTTTTCCAGCTTCGTAAGTTGATTTATATGATAAGATTAAAAAATTAATGGATTAATTTGTTGGTACAAGCATATAATTGATATAATAAACGCCCTTCAAAATTTACTAAACGTGTTGAATATATATAGTTTGATCTTTTAATGAGTTATTTTAAAAGCCATATTTAGACTGTAGCATTCAAAAGTAACTTATCATTTTAACACAATTAAATTTCACATTAACATTATTTAATTGATTTCTGCACAGCAAACTTTGGTAGAAAATGATAATTGAGTTTTTAGCAAAAAAAAGTGATGTGATAAAAATAATTTTGTCAAATTTTGAAACAAATTTGGCATAATTTTTGATTTTGTTATTTTTTAAAAATAAATTTGATTAAAGAGAATTTTGTAAAGTCTAACCATTTTTTAATTTTAATTTAACAACCTTTTTGACTTTGACTATAGAAGTTGCTTGTTTTTTGGGAAATTAGTTTTTAGTTTTTTTTTTTTTAAAAAAAGACAACAAAAAAAAAGGGGGGAAGTAAAAAATTAAAGTCATTAAAAAAATAAAAAAATACTAAAAAGTACGTCATACACATCAATTTTCATATTTTTTTTTGGGGTAAAATACACTGATACTCTTTAAGATTTCTCTTTAATACAATTTCTCTCTTACATTTGAAAAATTAATATTCCTTTTCCCGAGATTTGTAATCTCATTACAAATTAGCCTATGGATTGTTGATGTCATGCATTAAAATTTTCTAAATGACAATTTTATCATTTTTCCTATCATTTTTTCTTCCTATCATGATGATTAAATTTTACAAATTTCTATCATTAAATTCTACCTGAACATATTCTTATTGAGTGATGATATATAAATATAAATTTTATATAAAATTTTCAAACACAATGATATAACTTAATGGTAAACTTGTACTTTAAAACAAAACACTTAAAAATATGATTTATATTTACAGCATCAATATCACAACATTTTAAGATATTTTTTGTATAAATTTTTATATATGAAAAGAATTTTTTCATTTTTATTTCCACCATTATTTTTCCTTCTTGTCTATTCACCTACATTTATTACTATTACCAAATACTGTCATTCACATTTATTACAATATTATTGATTTTTTGTATTTTTTTTTGGTATTTGGTGAATTAAAAAAAAAATCACAAAATATTATACTTCTTAAGTAGATCTAGATTAAGGGCTGGTTTGGCATAGCTTAAAAAAGACAAAAAGTCAAAAAGTTACTCAAAAAGTTAAAAAGTTATCACTATTTAAAAAAAATTAAAAAATTAATTTCTAAACAAAAATACAACTTTGATATCATCTATGTGCAGCTGCTGTGCTGACAAAAATGAAATAATTGGGTGTAATTTTAGATGGTTGTTGTTCGGCCCGTGGGGACCATC